CGCCCGGCCATTTTTTGGTTGCAGCCATCATTGTTGTTTGGCGGGCCCGGGCTGGGGATTCAAACCCACCACCTTAGGTGTATGTGACTGGCGCCTTAGCCACTTGAGCCACAGGTGCCGAGCCTATTTATAATTTTTTAATACTCTCACTATTGTGAGACTCTTACTAATATACGTGTGACCCTATGACATTTATTTAACCTATTTTAGACTAAGTTTTTTGCAAAATAAAGAGAAAAACCATAATTCAAAACCTTGGGTTCATATTATTAGGCCATTTTCTTATTAAAAAAATCATTAGAAGTTTAAATCAAATTTTAATGTCTTTTATTTGTGATTTTGTTTTTATAACACTAAAAAAGATGTAGTATTATATAATAGTTCTTTAGAATTTTTATGATTAACAGACTATTCTAAGACAGATGATGAAATATTGACTACTATGACTCTACAGAATTAATGGAAATTAAATCCTGAGATAGACCATCCATTGATTTTATCCAATGACAGTTGTATTAGAGAATAAGATCCTTATTGGAGAAGAAAATCTCCCCTATATCTATACTCAATAGAATTGTAAGAAATTACTTAAATAACAGCTTTGTTTGGATCAAGTAATGGAAGAGGATTTTTTGGACCTTCTTAGCCATTGCTTTTCACAATAGTATTATACAGACATTCTTTTGATTTACCTTTTAAAGCTTCATTTCAATCAACAGAATCAAATATAATAATTATAGCCATTGCCAAGCAGAAGTAATTAGTAGCTGTAGTCAGTAGCAGACACTAATTTCAAAAGTTTGAGTAAAAAATTATCTCTTAAAGAAAAAATATTCTAGGACACTTGGACAGTGCCAGTTCTTGACTGTCAGTGGTGACTTGCTGCAAAGTAACCCTGTGAGACTACATGAGTAGTAAAACATTCTCTTTAATGTGTATCAACTAAATCCTAGCCTAGTGATTGCATTAGTTTGTTAAGCTCCCAGCCACAGTCATCATTAAAGAAAATGTCAAAATATGCAGTGAGATACAGAATTAGATGAAGTGAGCAAATTTAGGGATGACGCCTGATAGTGATTTAATTGCTCTACTAAAACTTAGTAAAAGTTTTCATGTATGAGTAAATGACCTTAAAAGGTTCTTATATCTTACCTCTGATATCTATCACAGAAACTAAGGCCTGAACTAGTGGGTTGTCTCCCCCAACTTTGTTACTTAATACTACCAATACTGATAAAAATGGCTTCAGTGAGCAGAAAGAAATCAAACATTTCCTGCCAAGCTTAAGGTGAAAACTTACACCATTATCTGATCAGTGTGATGGTGCCTCAGAACTTGGATATATTGGTAATATCATGTTTCTTTCTTTCCTTTTTTTTTTTTCTTTTGTATTGAAATGCTTTTGTGAGGACAGATGGGGAATTGGGGAGCCTCTTTTAATATTGAAATGCCATTTTGAGAGATACTGTGAATTTTTGAGTCTGCATGTAAGGGGAGATGGATGATGCTGTCCAATTTAGAACAATGTAAATTATGTGTAACAAAAATAGTTAAAACACAATGTACTTTTCAAAGAAGTATTTTTTTCAATTTAATATAAATAGTATGTGTTTTATTACAAAGATTTTTTTATGTCCTTGAAGTCTTTTCCGTGGAATACAGAAACAAAATATTTTATTTACAAATAAAGATTATTTATTGTTCCCCATTTAGCTTTTTAGCAAGCTATGTATTCTCTAAAAGGAAATGTTTAGAATTTAATTTCAAATGTGAATGCTTATGATTGTGTCTAATCTAATGTTGTCTGAAAACTCTCCCTCAGTCTCCTCAAGAAGTGGAAAAAAATCCACTTACAGTCACCACTTACCCTATTTGAACATTGTGGTGCTTTTTATTACAGAATAAATATAAAACTTTTATGGAACCTTTTCTGACCTCTGGTTTCATTATTTCCTTTGAAAAGAATTTTTAAATCCTCCCTCAGTAGAAAATGATGTGCTTAGAAAAGTAAAGCAGAAATAGAAAAGGGAACCAAAATTTAGGATTTTATATTGCCTTTGTTGAGAGGAGCTCATCATAGTTCATATGTGTTAGTCCATTTATCCTGTAAGCTCTAAGAAGGTATAATTTATGTCCACAGTTTTGTACATAAAGAAAATGAAAAATAGGAAATTCAGTGGCTTAGGAAACTCATGGTTTGAGTAGAAAGTCAATGTTAAAACCCAGGTCTGTTGACAATAATCATTCTGGTAGATTATGCTACCTAAATTGGCTTTAAAAGGTTCAAAATGTTGTGTAATAAATTAGCCATTCTGCAAGCATTCTTTTGGAATCTATTTTGTTAGGAACTGGAAATCCAAAAACAAGTAAGACACAGTTCTTACATTGTTGCTCCAAGTAGGGGTAGGGGAAGCAAGTGGGGGAGATGACAGATATAGTGGATAATTTTACTATAGTGAGACAAACAGTCCTAATCGAGGTCCTGTGTACCCCTTGAGTATAGTGGAACTCTTCTTCCAGGATGGAGGAACTATCAAGGGATGTTCTATCTGAAATAGTAGCCCCCATTCAGTTTTTTAGCAAGCTGTGTATTTAGTAGCTCTAGTAGCACTACTTTCAGAAAAAGCATTAGTTTAATTCCTGTGGTCAAAATTGGTAGTGAGCACAGCTATTAGATGTGCTCAGTTAATGATTTAAGTGTTATTTATTGCCTCCTATGTAAAATAATTAGAATAGCCTGGACACAGGTTTAGAAAGATTTGGAAAGCAGTTGAAGAAGTTGCATTTTAATCTAATCTGAAATACAGTTATTAAGAGTACCAGTGCTGCTAGTGTTAACAGCAGTATATGATCTTGGCTGGTGTAGCAGACATAAGCATGTAATAAATACGAGTCTAGAATTCCATGTTTCTCCTAACTTACATGGCTACATTCTATATTTGAATTCTGATTTTACCTTCCTAGATTAGTGAAAAATTTCCCCTAGTGCTTTGGCAACATAAAAACAACTATGATGCTAAACACATAGTATGTCATCTCTTTGTTTAGTGGGATTTGTAAATGTTAAAACTGAATTTTTATTAAAATATTACATATTTTATTTCACTTAAAGAAACCTCTTTCGCAGACGATAAAAACTTTATCAACCTCTGAAGTATTAATCAGGCAATTACATAGTTGTATAGTTTAAGGTAGTGAGCATCATTAACACAGCAAAATGCAGGGAGATTTCTACCAGTTAGGAATGTTTGATTTAAGAATGGTGTGTTTGTACCAGCTGAAATCCACCTCTCTACAATGTACCTATGTATCATACCTAAATATGTGTCTCCTTACAAAAGCAATGTTAGGCTAACAGTCACTGGAGAAACCATTTAGTTCCAAGTATCGCTTTTTTGACCACTTGCTTTATCTTTCTTCATTCATACTCAGTTTCTCCCTTTGGTACTTTTGTGGTTCATAGCTCTTAAAATTTTACTTCAGACCATCTTTGACAAGTGTGTGTGTGTTATATATGTGTGTATGTATCATTTTGAATTTTATTTCACACTTTCTCAGCTTTTTGCCCAGTGTCCTCAGGAGGATAACTGTTCTCCCCAGCTTTCTTCCTTTCTAGCTCCTCTATTTTGCCATCCCTTTCCTGGTCCTATTGGTCACCGGAAGACATCTTAATCATGACTCAAAATCATCTTTTATTAGTTATTATCATGAGTTTTCATTAGCATTATAATGTGATTTTAAACATGCAGAGGAAATTGAACCACACTTAAATTGATATATGTTGTAGAAAAAGAATAGAAAATTAGGGAAACCTTTTAAATGAAGTACTTTCATTTTAATTTTGTACTATCTTACAGAATTTAAAATGATAACCTCCTGGACTTTTAGTAAACATGGACTGAAATATTTTGATATCTAATTGCTTTGTACTAAAACAATACAAACCCAGCATCTATAAAGCAGTAGTTATCAAGAGCCACTTTATTAGCAATTAGTTTTAGTCTCATATGGCTAGCGAGAAGGCATAGCTCTCTTAAGAAAACAGGGCCTATTCATACCTTGTAAGTAAACACTAATGACCTAAAAGACAGTGATCAACTTACCTGTTACAAATGGAATAGACTTGTGATACATTTGGAAAGTGATCTATTTATATTACAATTATGTCAGGGTAGACTTATTTGAGGAAATCATATTAAAAAGAAAACTATAGGATAAAAAGAACTATTCGTGAGAAATGTCTAGGGTAGATAATTCAGGACAGAGGAAAACTATGTACAAAGTTCCTAATATATAAGAGAGCTCAACAGAGAAAAACCTGTTACCTGGGTAGAATGAGGGAAATAGAGATGAGATTAAAAAAATTCAAGTGGCAGACTCAAACGAATTCAGATTTTATTAAAAGTACAATAGTATGCCTTATGAACACTTATTAAGCAAGGTAGTAACATCTTGACATTTACATTTTAAAAGATAATTTTGACTGCTGAGTGGAGAATAATTGGATACGGATAATAGAAGAACGAGGGAGACCTATTAGGAGGCCATTGCAATATCCTAGTCAAGCAATAATTGAGGGTGGAGGATGGTAGAGGAATTGGAAATAATCACATGAGGTCTGACATTTAAGTTTGCAGACTCACCCTAGAAAAGAGACTATATACCTCACTGCTGATTATCACTATCGTCACCTTGAAAGTATTGCCCTTGGAAAGCTATGAATGGATGGCCAGTGCCTGGTCCACCCTTCAAAGCAATTTTGGAATTCTTTTTCTGGAATGACTATCAGAGTTGTCATCGTATGGCACACGAAAACTTGCAACAACAATAATGAACACCATTCAGCAAGATACCACCAACATATCTACACAAACACAGCTGTGAGACTCTGTAAACCAAGTAGCTTGTATAGTGCCACCAGCATATGTGCAAGGTGGAGAGTTCGCAAACATAATTGTCACGTCTCTGTGATGACTGCTTTGATAGCATTCCAGAAAAAAATTCCAAAACTGCTTTAAAGAGTGGACTAGGCACTGGCATCAGTTCATAGTATCCCAAGAGGAATATACTTCAAAGGGGACCATAGTGATATTCAACACTTTTTCTAGAATGAATTCTCAAACTTAATTTTTAGACCTTGTATCTTTGAGAATTTAGTTAGCACTTACTGATATAATTCTTTCATATTCTTTAGTCCTTGATGTAGTTAAAACCAGTAAGCCATTCTACTTTGTTACAATTGAAAAGTATTGATATAGTGTCTGCAAGAGGAAAAAACTATTTTAGTGCATGATGGTCTGTTATGAAAAATTAAATTTCTTATACAACTTAAACACAATCAAATAATCTACATTTCAGTCCCAATAAAATGTTTTGAGGACATGTCTAATTATAATAAAACCTTGATACTTAAGAATTCCAAATTCTACAATTTTTTTTTTTTTGGAGGCAGTCTGACTCTGTTGCCCTGGGTAGAGTGCCATGGTGTCACAGTTCACAGCAACCTCAAACTCTTGGGCTTAAGCAATTCTCTTGTCTTGGCCTCCCAAGTAGCAGGGACTACAGGCGCCCACCACAATGCCTGGCTTTTTCTATTTTTAGTAGAGACAGGTCTCACTCTTGCTCAGGCTGGCCTCAAACTCCTGAGCTCAAACAATCCACCTACCTCAGCCTCCCAGAGTGCTAGGATTAGAGACATAAGCCATCATGCCCAGCCATTCAAATGCTGCAATCTTACTTCCATCCAGAATATTGCACAAATTCCTTGTTTATTCTATAAACATATTTATTTAAAGGACTAGAATACAAGGGCTTTATACTGATAAATGTTTGAGTTATACTTGTAGAAGTTAAAGTAGTTCATTATGCATTCTTTTATTGCTCCAAATCATTTCTTGGGTAAACCAGATAGTATCAGAAATTTCTGCCTATTTTTTAAACCAAACAAGTCACTGTTGATGAATGTAAAATAATACCACTCAAAAAGCAAGTTCAAAATATTATTGATTTTATTAAGTGAGATTGGAGTAGGAAAAGTTAGGCAGACATTGCATCTCTTCCATCTTTTATTAATACCATTACCACTATCCTATTTTATCTCTGATCTTCCATTTGGAGAATGTAGGAAATTATCTCCACTTTTATTGTCAATAGTGGGTTACATTCCAATTTATTTTCTAAAAATTCTGTGCATACATGATAGATTCTTATCATTCCAGGAAGAAGCTCTACTTCTGATGTACTAGATATACACAAGTCTCCATTCTCTCATCAGACCTTTCTTAACAAAGGGCTTAGTAAATCTATGGGATTTCTGTCTATCAGAGACTCACAAGATAAGGAAGACTATCTCAAGGACATTTTATCAAATAATAATTCTGGGCATGAAGAATCTGAAAATATGTGCTCCCCTTACCAGTTCAAAACCAGTGGCCCAGAAAAAAAAGTTATCCCTGGCATTGATGTGCTTCCTAAGAAGAAAATTTGGGCTTCATCCATGGACTTGCTTTGTACAGCTGACAGAGACTTCTCTTCTGGAGAGCCTAGCACATCCCTGTGCTGTCACCCTGAGGCAGTTACAGTGCGTACTTCAACCACTCCTAGAAAAAAGGAGGCAAGATACTCAGATGGAAGTATAGCCTTGGATATCTTTGGCCCTCAGAAAATGGATCCAATGTATCACACTCGAGAATTGCCCACCTCCTCAGCAATATCAAGTGCTTTGGAACGAATCCGAGAGAGACAAAAGAAACTTCAGGTTCTGAGAGAAGCCATGAATGTAGAAGGTCAGTAATTTTGTGTGTGTTTGAGAGAGAATTGAATTGAATTTGGAATTGTGTTTTGAAATAAAAAAGGGTTATTAAATCATTCCACAAGTCGTATTTTCACTGCCAAACTTTGGAACCCAAATTAGTCTCTTCTCTGTCAATTTCTGTGTTTCCTTCCACCAAAATCCTGGTTAATGTACTCTGCTTCCACAAAGTTATCCCTACCAAATAAGCCTGGTCTGATCACTGCAGAGCTGCTAGTTATTTTGGGTAGTATGTTTTTAGATTGTAAGCTTCTCAAGGGCAGGAGACATATTTTCTACTTCTTTTAATCTTCCACAGCACCATCTGTCATGTAGGCTTCAGTATATAATTGGTTTATAAAAATGAGCAGTTAATCAAAATCAGCAATCCCAAGGAGCCGAAATAGCATGGTGATGGTGAGGTGCTTCCCCAGCCACTGGCTTCACAGAACAAAATTAGGGCATACTTCTAAGAGATTAGGATCTGCTTAATCTGGAATAAAGTTTTGAATCTATACTTTTTTTTCCCTTTTTTTATTAAATCATAGCAGTGTACATTAATACTATCATGGGTACAGTGTACTGTTTCTTGTATACAATTTGAAATACTTTCATCCAACTGGTTAACATAACCTTCATGTCTTTTTCTTAGTTACTGTGTTAAGACATTTATATTCTACATTTAGAGAGATTCACATGTACCCGTATAGGATGAACCATAGGCGTGATCCCACCAATCACCCTCCCTCCACCCATCCTCCCCTCTCCTCTCCTTTCCCCTCCCTCTTCCCTCCCTCTTCCCCTCTCCCCATATTCTTGGGCTAAAATTGGGTTATAGCTTTCCTGTGAAAGCTATCAATTAGTTTCGTAGTAGGGCCGAGTACATTGGATACTTTTTCCTCCATTCTTGGGATACTTTGCTAAGAAGAATATTTTCCATCTCCATCCATGTAAACACAAAGGATGTAAAGTCTCCATCTTTCTTAACGGCTGCATAAGTACTCTTTAGGTGTGTAGATGTAGAGTCAGACAGCCTAAGTCTGATTTAGTTACTCCATTTAGTAGCTAGGTGATCTTTACTTGGTCTTCATCTTTCCAAGTCTAAGTTACCCCAGCTGTAAAATGGATGTGGCAAAAATAGGTTAATTATGTAATGAATGTAAAGTGATTCATATTATATTATTATTATGAGGAGCATAAAAGCAACTTCATAAATATTATGCTTGTTATTCCAAAGTTCTGGTTATTCAAAACACCACATTCACACGCAAAATTCAGTATACTGAATATAATAAAATTATGTTGTACACATATAGAGGATATCTTTTGTATAAATACATACAAGAGAAAACCAATAGAAGAGAATTTTCAGTTTAATTCTATACATTTTTAAGATTAAAGCTTTATAACTACCATTGACTCCTAGACAAATCCAAAGACATAACTGATTAAAGGGAACTTTAAGGTACTTTCTAGTTCAAAGAAAAGTTCATATTCATCTTTAAAGTTGTTTCAGTATATTTTTGATTCATAGACTGCCTTTATTCTTCTAAAAGTCTGTTGTCCCGTTACTTAAGTTTTAAGCATTGATCTGAAGCAAAGCATACTAAATTGTGCTTCACTTACAGTAAAAGAGGCAATTTTTTTGCCATTCATAAATGGCAAATTAGTAAAGAATTTTAGATTATGGGGAGAATTAGTGACTACTTAATTGATATTATAGATTTATATATAACATGCATTTTTTAAAATTAGCCAACACTGTCTAATGGTTGTATATAATCTTAATCTGAAAACTTTCAAAGATAGGAAATAAAAATTTAGAAGTTTGTTTTACACGTAATCTCAATATTTAACTTTTGGAGTTGTGACAGCAAATAGTGGGTACTTCCTATAGCTTTAACAAAAATCTTCCCTTTCATGCCTATTTGGGGTTGCACAACAGCTAGTATATGAACAATAATGTAATCTGGCCTTCTTATAGACATTATGTCTCATGTAGACATTTACATAAAGAAATTCTATCCATTGTGTATATGTGGGGGGAAGAATAGCCCCCAATGGTTCAAATAGATAAAATCATTATAGTGTCAGTGAAGATACATATCAGCCTAGTTGACTATTTCTAACATTTAAAAGGTTGAGTAGTATCTTTTTTAAAATGTGAATATTAATATCATAATTCTCATGTATAATCTAGTTTCAAAGCTTATTTTTTTAATATTTGGTTAAGAATGTATTAGTGAATTTTGAGCATTTTTTTTTTTTTACATTTAAACCTTGGTTTGAGAGTTAAACAGGAAAGACATCAAACATTAGTAGAAATATGTTTAATATGTTAAATTATGCTATAGTAATCTTTAATATATTTTTGAATAGATGGTTTCTATTGTAACATATTAGACTATGTAACAGGTTTCTACCTGTAACATATTAGACTGTTGTAGCACATGATCCTATTATCTTCTCAGGTCATCTATTACATCTGTGTATAAGGAAAACTCAAGTAGACTTTATATCTGCAAAAGTGATGCATAATCCACGTAGGGTTTCATTTGTTTAAAATATAACTACTTATTATACATATTTCCAGATTTAGATATTTAAAATTTTTTATGTGATACAGAAGCAAAGGAAAGGTTTCTTTTAAAAAAGAAAATATGCTTTATATTCTTTGATGCAGGAAAGTTTCTATCCTGAAATATAGCTTTTGAAGAATTTTCAAACGCATGTGATGTCACAAAGAACCTACCCATTTTTTCCCTCAAAGGATATTTTACAACCAAGTTAAATTAACAAACCCTAAAAATGATGGTTTATTATGGAAATACATCACCTTAAATAAACCTCCCATTATTATGTGGTAACTTACAAATAACAATGATTATTTGCTTTAGACTAAAAACATTATTTGAAAGAAATATTTGAGATTTAGAATTCAAAAACTCTAATTCTTAGCAGTTATTTAGAGTAACTTACTGGCTTTATACTATGCTGTCTTTTTCTGAAAGTGAAGTAATTTGTCTTAGCTGTGCAAACAAGAGTGCAGATTGGTATATAAAGATTTAGCTAGTAATCAAAGACAAAAAAGAGTAGAAAATCAGGCTCGGCGCCTGTGGCTCAAGTGGCTAAGACACCAGCCACATACACCTAAGGTGGCGGGTTGGAATCCAGCCCAGGCCTACCAAACAACAATGATGACTGCAACCAAAAAATAGCCAGACGTTGTGGCGGGCGCCTGTGGTCCCAGCTACTTGGGAGGTGGAGGCAGGAGACTCACTTGAGCCTAGGAGTTGGAGGATGCTGTGAGCCGTGATGCCATAGCACTCTACCCAGGGGAATAGCTTGAGGCTCTGTCTCAAAAAACAAAGAGTAGAAAATCATATAAATCCCATTTATCTCATTTAATTGTCATGGAAAGTAGACCCCCTGTATCCTTTTTAAGTGTGATAAATCAAGCAGAACAGTGAATGTCATTAATGTACATTTTATTGTATACATTTCCTTTATAAATATTTGCATTTTAAAACTTAAAAATAAATGTTCTGGACAATTTTTGTGATCGTTAAATTGTCAGTTGCTGATGAGTTTCAGTAATTGTTGAATTAGAAGAGGTCTTCTAGCACATGTTGTCTAAACTTTTTCTTGAGCTTATACAACTTTAACAATTAACCAACATCATGTAACTAGTTAATGGTAGAATTGCCATCATTTTGGAGCTTGCACATTTCCATTATGGATTTTCAGAGGTTTAGTCTGAGAATTACTACTACTTACAATGTTACTTCTAAATTTCTTTTTAAAGATATGTTCCAGTAGTACTCAGGTAACTCATATAAAACTAGAAGAAACAAAATTGCTGAATTTCAGTTTGTTCTTCAATGTGCAAGGAGGGTCATTGAGTTAATAGGAAGGAAAAATAGTTGTCTCATTCAACCCCTGATACATGTCTTTTTCCTAAGTCCAGGCCCCATCCTCTTGAAAGAGAATCACCTCCATAGCATTTCCTCAGCTAGCATCAACAGTCAGCCAACTAGTACAGGGGATAACAGACCTTAAAATCGTGGAATTTGGAACTAGAAAGAATTTGGATACCATTTAAACTAAATAGATCATTTTCAGAGGTCCAGAAAAGTAGACTAAATTGCCAAAGGAGATAAATAATTCATAACAGAGCTATGTTTTGAATCTCGGTCTCTAGGGCCCCATAATAAAGTTCTTTCACTCTGCCATTCTGATTTCAGGAGACCTTAAACATTTCAATGCATTGTTGGGAAAACTTTTTTTACCAGCTGGAATGTTGGACATTCAATTAACTGCCTAACAAGCCCCTGAAATCTCTTCTTAATAAAATTGTATCATTTTTAATACAATGAAATGAGATAGTATTTATTATGAAAAAAAGGCTACAAATGAGTCATTTTTGGTTCTTTCTGCAGTAAAGCACTATGCACAGGGTTTAAGATGGGTTATGTTTCATATGATATTGTAGTGGATAGTATCTGATAGTATTCTGCTAGGGCAGGATCTTTAAGGTGGTTAGTCCTGTAGCTGACAACAGAGGAGTAAACTAGCATTGATGCTTTGATTTCTTTCAGAACAAAAGGAGAATGTTAGGAATAAAAAGGATATCAAGGAAAAAATCATAGTTAAAATTGAAAATTGTAAATATACAATTATTATGGTGATTTTTGAGTTAATACTTAACCTTTCAGATAGTTGTCCACAAACATACAGCAGTAGGAAAGGAATAGGAAGAAATATAACTTAGGTTTCTCTTACAGAAACTTATTTTAAAATTTGCTATCACTTTCTCTGTTTTTGCTGTATTCTTTTAAACCCACTTCTTCCCTGCCCACTGTCAGCATAGGACTGATTCTTCTCTCTTTCCTTTCTTCCTTATTCTCAGTATTTTCTTTTCTACCTTTTTCTAGTCCATCTCAAGATCTGTGAAGTTATCTGTTTTCTAATAGGAGTATCTTACAAATGCCTTTG